GGTCATTCCTCCCTCTAACCCAGTCCACATACCCCTAACATTCAACCCTTCACCCTCTTTTCCATTATTTACTTCTAGCTTGGGAGCCAAAGTGAGAATGAATAGAACAGAAAGGAAAATGGGAGGAGAATAGGGGAAGGAAGTCAACAAGCTGTTGACAGCTGCTTAGAAGTAGGGGACAAAATTATAGCTACTGAAATGAGAGCAACTCCTGGTCCCCTGATGTTTCTACCCCACACTCCTCCAATATTTCGTGATGTGTAGGTCTTTTCATTATGTTTCTGTTCTCTCTCTCCAGTTCATCATTTCAAGGGTCATAATCACTCCCTTCTCTACACCTTCAGTTCCCATTTTGTTCTTACTTGGTTACTTATGAATAACAGTGTCTCCAGCAAATTGCATTCAAGGTTCTGCCTATTACACACCTGTGCCATGGCAACCAAACAGCTAAATGCAGCTAGAGAAAAACAAAATATGCCAGCTGGTCTTGCTGTAAATTCGTGACCACAAGCCTTAGTCAGCTGTTAGTGCTGTCAGCAAGGTTACTTAGTCCATCCATTCTCCTGCTCTTATGCAACACTTACGCCTTCTTTCTCTTCAGATACCTTCACTTATCTTCAGCCACACTGGCCTGCTTTCTGTTCCTAACATGCCAAACATATTCTCGCCTGAGGGCATTTTTATTCTTCTTCTTGCCTGGAGGTCCCAGCATCTAGCTATTCATTTCTTCACCTCCTTAAAGACTCTGCATCATTTGATTTCACTAGCAGGCCATGCCAGGCCTCACCATACAAGGCAGGCAGCAAACACATCTCCATTGCCAGTGGGACATTCTGTGCCCCTGACTTTTAGCAGTTACCACCATTTGGTCTTCTACATGTTTTATGCATATATATTTTCTTTTCTCCCTGTTAGAATGAAAGTTTTACTGAGAGCATGTTTAAGTTTTCTATAACTAGAGTTTAATACAATACGTTCTAGTACTCTATACATACTTGTTTTCTTTTCTTTTTTTTTTTTTGGGGGGAGAGATTTTCACTGTAGGGCGCATGCGCTTACCAGACAGACAGAGAGAGACATAGAGACAGAAAGCGAGAAATCACCCCCCAGGGGGGATGGTCACGCTGCAATCCCTTCTCCTCCATTCTCCTCTCGGGATCTTGGGCACGCACGCACACGCGCCCGGCGTGAGTTTTAAGCCACCGGGTCCGGGACACGAACCGCGGTCGACTATGTGGGAGTCCAGCGACATAGCCATTACGCTAACTGCTGATTCCCTATACATACTTGTTTAATGAACAAATGGATGATAGTTTATTGCCCATTGGCTTTTTAAAATCACCTCTTTCCATGTGACAAATCCAGAATACTCACCTACTCATACTCTCATATTTTTTGTATATGACTAGTTTCCAGACCCAGATTTAGTGTACATCTAATTGTTGGAGAAAATATCGCTTATTTGACTATCTTGGGAAATCCAATGTGCCTGTGAAATGTTTTATATCTAGAATAATAGTCTCATATAATGGAATACTGAAAGACAACTTACATGATAATTTCTGGGTTCATTTAATAACCTAGGCTTCAGGGTTTGGGAGCTTACAGACATTCTCCTCAAAGGTCAGTTTCTTTTTCTGCAAAGGATGAGGGTAAGTCAAGCATCTGGGGAATTGAGGCAGAAATTTTACTCCAGTAGACCTTCTCTTAGACTACTCCCACCCTAGATATGTGTCACACCCTAGAAAATGGCAGTGAATGGGTATTTTCCTAGATCCTGAATCCCCACTAGAAGAAAACCCTTCTTTGATTGTGATATTTGCATAATGACATTTAGAGAGTAAATCACTTAGATATGGTGAATGCTTTACATCATTGGTATCCCTCAGAGCATTGATGGAAATGCCTGACATCAAGCAGACACTGAGCAAATCATAAAACAGGTGCTCAGCAAATACTTAGGTGACAAAGAAAATCAAAGTAGAGTCAACTACTACATTTTCAGTGAAGCAGTCATTTATATTTTGAGTTTTTTAACCCTCCAACCAGCTTCTTGGCACCATAGGTCATGACTCCAAATCTGACAGAAGTGGTAGTGCATTGTCTTTATATGTTTTGAGATCACAGCAGCTAGCCCAGTGCATTGCACTAGTAGTTGACCAGTCAAACTTATTGGATTGGGTTTATAGGAAAATGAGAGAAAAGCATGTTGACCTTCATAAGTTGAAACTGAATATAGCTGTCATCCATGTGCTTTGAGTCTGGTTTAGGGATGGCAAGGGAGAAGGAATGTCATTACACTGAAGTTTAATTTAGGCTACGTAAAATACATAAAATAGTCACACAGTGCTCTTTAGTGGAGTTTTGGGGAACCAAGACATTGTAGTTTTGCTTTTCTAGAAATGAGCAGTCGAAGGAAACCACAAAACCCTCAAGTGATGAGATAGGATCAAGAAGAGGCTTTAACTTAAGATGTGCTGGGAAAGTGGGCAGTGGTTAGACTGCTCAACTATACATCAGCAAGTGTCACTTAATCTTTACTTTCCATCCTCTGGGCTCAAAGAAATGTCTTTTACTCTTGAATAGAAACATAAGCAGATTGAACTGCGAGGAAGGAAGGACAAATAGAGATATCAGTTTGGAAACACATGTCTTTTAATCGTTTTTTTGTTTGTTTGTTTGTTTTGTTTTGTTTTGTTTTTAAAGCCAAGGTCTCCCTGTGTCATATTCTTCCTGCCTCACCATCCCAGCTGGGATTGAAGGTGCTGCACTTGACTCTTTCTTAGGCAGCATCTTGCTTTGTTGCCCAAGTCAGTCTCAAGCTCAGGATCCTCCTGCTTCAGGTTCCTCAAGTCAGTAAGGTTAAGGTTACAAATTGCAAGATTACAAGCCACTGTGCCCAGCTTTTCAGGTCGGACCAGAAATAGAACCTGAGTCCTTAACTGTTTCCTAGGATAGAGAAAGGAAATGGTAGGGAGTGGGGGGAGGGGAGGATATTTTTGATTATTTCAACTATGAATAGAAGAGTACAGTTTTTGATAAATAGAGATGAGCTGGCATCACAGAATTTTTAAATTCAGAATGAAAGTTTGTCTCAGGTGTAAGTTCTCTCAAGTGGTTGAAATAAAAACGAACAAGTTAGGTTGTCATTTGTGGAGAGGAATTAAATTCTTACTTAGCATTTATGGTAGTACAGTGAACTATAACTAATCCAGAGAACTTGAATTTGCTGCTTTACTTGAATATTTTTATGGTCCCATTTTTACCATGATAAATACAATCATTTCTCTCACCTGAATGCATATGCACTTTTCCGTATGGATGGGTGCAGTCCCTACTTCACTGAACATAAGTTGATAGATGAAATACTTTATAAAACAAAGATGCCATTAATTTATGCTCTACCAATTTTGAGTTTTTGATCACTTGAACAGGAACCAAGCAGAAGTTTTCTTTAATTTTATCTAGAAAGACAGGGTTTGCTGAGCAGATTAATAGCATAGACAAAATTCAGGAAGAATACTTTAACTATTTAGGGAAAAACACAACTTCTAATCACTTTTGGACTTAAAATGATACAAACATTTTAGTGCTAAATACTAACTTATTAAGATTGACTCTAGAGTTATTTAGAATTTTGCAGTTTTCGGTTATTAAATATATCTGTATCTTCCCAGTTGGTTTTCAGAATGGGGATCTAGCTCAGGCAAAGTGAGTCCTGTGGCCAGAGCTGGCTGCATGAGTCTCTCTAGTCTGAAACAAGAAGTTTTTTGTTCGTTTGTTTTGGTTTTATTTTTGTTTTGGAGAGGTTTTTCCTACAGGGCGCTGCTGCGCTCGCCAGACAGACAGAGAGAGACATAGAGACAGAAAGCGAGAAATCACCCCCCAGGGGGGATGGTCACGCCGCAATCCCTTCTTCTCCATTCTCCTCTTGGGATCCTGGGCACGCATGCACACGCGCCCGGCGAGTTTCAAGTGACCAGGTCCAAGACATGAACCGCGTTCAACTACATGGGAGTCCAGCGACATAGCCATTATGCTAACTGCTGGTTCCAAGTTTTTTTTGTTTTTTTAAGAGAAATTTTTGCTATAGGGCACATGCTGTAGAGAGACAGAGAAACAGAAAGAGAGAAATCACTCTGCAGGGGGAATGGTCATGCCTTAATCCCATCTCCATTCACCTGTTGGGATTTTGGGCACGCATACACATGTGCCCAGCATGAATTTCAAGCCCCCAGGTCCAGGACTCAAACCATGGTCTTACAATGTGGAAGTCCAGCGATGTAACCATTATGCCATCCACTAGTCCCACTGTTCTTCAACTCTTTCCAGTGAGAAGTGAGGTGCATGAATATTCCTTGGCGCCGAGTGAAAGAAAGGAGCTTAACTGGATTTATAAGGAAGTAGGCTGATTTAATTTGAATGACCAATGTCTGAGGTACTTTAGACATCAAGACAGACTCATTTCTTACTGTATTGAGGTTCACAGAGTGTTTCCATTTCCTTATTCATTTATTGTGATTGCCCTATGGGTTCATTCTGTGATAGGAAGGTTAACATATTTGTACATATATTTGAAACACTGTTCATTATGTTCAGCTATGCATTAAAAGTCTTCTAAGTGTTTCATAATTTCAAACAAATCAAACAAAGTCAGGAAATTAACCAGTTAGAAAATGACATTTTGCTGGAAAAGAGATTTAACATTTAGGCATAGAGTTTGAGTTTTACAAAACATTTCTCTGAATAAATTAACTTTTCTTCATTTTTTTCCCATAGTGATCTTTCCTTGGGAATCAAGACTGTACCTTCATGCAACCACAGAAGGTTTTCAAAAGACACTGGTTTTATCACTAAAGAGCCAGATACCCAGAACTGGATGGGAATCTAGTATAAAATAGACACTAGAAGCAGGCTCATTCTGTGTAGTTAACAAGAGAATCTGATCTTCAAGATAGTAATCCAGGATACGTGTATTTTTTTTTTTTTGTAAGGAAACTATGGCTGCCATAATTTTACATGGTTTTGTCCAAGTATGGACCAAGAACGGTGGAATGTCTAAGTCAGAAGAAGCATGCATTGAAATTATAGAAGAAAAGGAGAAATCTAAACTGTCACTCTCCTTCAGTGCTGGAAAGTGTAACACTTTTCAGCTAAATAATAATATTGAAAGCATAGTCCTTAGATCCTATGAAGAAAAACGACATCAACTGTATTTAACTTTCAGAAATAAGGAGTTCTTGTTTATTGAAAGATTATCCTTCACAGATGCCAAAGATTTGAAAATGTTCCTGGACAGAATCCATCAAAACAAGCTTCAATCACCCGGGAGTCCTGAAAAGGATGAGGGTGTCTTTACCAGCACAACAACACAGGAGGAAATCAACAAGACTTCATTTCATGATGTTCTTAATAAATCAAATAGCACATCCTTTGAGACAGCAAAAGGAAATGGAATACCTGTCCTTCAAAAGACACCTTTGCTTACACCAAAATCAACAACACTTACTTGTAAAGGGCTGTTAGAAAATCAATACTGGAAGACGAAAAGAATGCTATCGTCTGATTCAGAGATAACCAAGAACTTCCCAGAAGAAAGTTCCATAAGCATCAAGAAACCCAAGATGAATAACTTGAGTTATATAGGCCACAATCAGAAGATACCACTGAATTTAAAAGAGTTAAAAGAGATTAAGAAATTGGAGTTTATGTCTTTACTAATGGCCGGCTCTAATGGAAACCCTTATTTTCTCAAAAGACTCACTGAGAAAATCCTTTTGGCATTTCTGTTGGAAGCGAAGTATGGTGAATATTATCCAGAATGGGACGAATTTGATATGTTCTTTTACTTTGTCCCAGATAAACTATGGCAAGGCTTCCCCAATTTGGGAAACACCTGTTATATGAATGCAGTTTTACAGTCCCTATTTTCAATTCCATCTTTTGCTGATGATTTACTCAATCAGGGTTTCCCATGGGGTAAAATTCGCCTTGATGCTCTTAGCATGTGTTTGGCACAGCTGTTTCTTTTGAAAGACTTTTACAACATAAAAATCAAAGAGAAGTTACTTGTGAATATTAAAAAATCCATTTCAGCAGTTTCGGATATATTCTGTGGTGATGTACAGAATGATGCTCATGAGTTTTTAGGTCTCTGTTTAGATCAGATAAAAGAGAACATGGGACGGTTAAACACTATTTGGAAGACTCAAAGTGAATTGGAGAAAGAAAATTCACCTCAACAAGTTTTTGCTGGTAATGCTGCCACCGACGTGTGTATATGTCCAGTCGTCACTAATTTTGAGCTGGAGTTGCTGCGCTCTATTATTTGTAGAGCTTGTGGTCAGGTTGTTCTCAAAACAGAAATGAGTAATTATCTCTCCATCAACCTTCCCCAAGGGATGAAAGAATTTCCTTTGTCCATTCAGTCTACTTTTGATCTTTTCTTTGGAGCAGAAGAGCTTGAGTATAAGTGTGAGAAGTGTAAGCACAGGAGTTCTGTTGCAGTGCACAAGTTCAGTAGGCTGCCCAGAGTTCTCATTGTGCATCTGAAACGCTATAGCTTTAATGAGTTTTGGTCCTTAAGGAAGGATGACCAGGCAGTCATTATTTCCAAATACTTAAAGTTGTCTTCTCATTGCAATGGAAACACCAAACCACCTTTTCCTCTGAGCAAGAAAGCACGTAGTAGGGACTTCCAAATATGCAAAATTTTTCAAAATTTGAATTCTGAAACCAATAGTTCATCGATACCGTCAACAAAATTGACCTCAAAATCTAAGGATTCCTCGGCTCTGCATATTGGAACAGACAAGGAGCCTGTATCACAACATTCCCAAAGATTTTTTAAAGGGGTGAGCAGAGAACAGCAAAAAGGCCAGGGTAAAGATTCTAGATTAAATATAATAAAGCCAGAATTGCTATGTTCTGGAGATGGACGATTCATTAGAAAAGAGCTGTTTGTTGGCCCAATATTGCGTCTGGAAGACACATATCTTTCTGCGATCCGTGAAGCTTACAGTAAACCCACCAGCAGTCCAGACGCACGTTTTACAAAAGTTCATGTTCGAGAAATGGCTGAAAATCCAAAATTGAAGACCTATAATAAAACCAATTTGTTCTTAGGGTTAGATTTTGAGAGTGTCACTAAAACTATCAAAGGTTTTTATAAAGATAAACCCAGAATTCAAAAAGAATTCCAAAATGTGGCTGAAGAGACCCGGCAATATGAGGGGATGAGAATCTATAAAGAAGCCCTTCAGCAGGCACTGCTTCAAAGCTTCCCAAAGCCAGTTGCCCAGGGGCACACAAAGAACATCAGAAAACTTACGAAATTTCATTTTCATGAAGCTGACATTAGTATATTGGATTCCAGAAGGAACCCTGGAACCAAGCACAGTTTAGGTAAGAAGACGGAATCTGTAGCCAAGGAACAAAAAAGAGATGCTGATAAGGGAGATCCTACCTATCGACTCATTGGTGTTGTCAGCCACCTTGGGAATACACCAAATTCAGGCCATTATGTCAGTGATGCCTATGACTTTGAGAGGCAGCTCTGGTTCAGTTATAATGATTTGCAGGTATCAAATATCCAGGAGGCCGGAATGCAGCAAGCCAGGCTTTGCACTGGGTACATTTTCTTTTATATGCATAATGAGATCTTTGAAGAGCTGTCAAGAAGGGATGAGAACTCACAGCTTCATAGCACTGAGGCAGGGAAGAAACCTCAGAAAGAATAAGAGGAACACACTACTCATTGTATAGATGTGCTTGATTGCCTCACTCACTACCACTTCCTCCATGTAAGGAAGTCTCTAAATGCTATCCAGAAATGAAGAGGCAATTAACCCAGGACCAAAGTTCAAACAGAAACGCTTACGGAGAAATCTCCACTTAAACCCTGACATGGCCACTTCGATGTCACAGCTCCAGCTGATGAGCATTCTTCTCTCCTACAAGGCTATAATTGTGCTTTCCATGTTCTAATGTGGTGATTTTAAAAATGTGCTCCTCAAATCAGCAGCTTTCAGGAGTATGGGGAACTCATTAGACATGCAGAATTTTAGAATTTGCTATAGACCTATTGATTCAGGAACTCAGGGTGGTGGTGGAGGACAGCAAGCTGATAGAGATTTTGATGCTTGATAAAAGTTTAAGAACCACTACTGTAGTGTACAGCGTATCTTGGTATCTTTTGTTGTGCATTTGAATTACTTGTAAATAGTTTTGATCGTGTTTATAGGATTCATGTATAGAATTTTAGAATTTGCTATAGACCTATTGATTCAGGAACTCAGGGTGGTGGTGGAGGACAGCAAGCTGATAGAGATTTTGATGCTTGATAAAAGTTTAAGAACCACTACTGTAGTGTACAGCGTATCTTGGTATCTTTTGTTGTGCATTTGAATTACTTGTAAATAGTTTTGATCGTGTTTTTAGGATTCATGTACATTTTTGTGAGCTTATTAAAATTAAAAATCATCTAAAAATCACTCTCCTGCTGATCAGACTCAGTGTCTTGATAGAAAAAAAATAAAATCCAGGGATCCTGACAATAAACATTAAATGAGACTGATAATTCTTTAATATTTTCGGGCATATATAGATGATACCGAATGCCGCATCAAGTCTCCAGATTGGCTGCTAAACTCCTTTTCCTCAATGCCAAAGGGGCAGCATACCATTAGGCTTTAATCTTGAAGATGGTGAAGTTGATTTGTCTTCAAAAAATTGATTCACCTTTTCTATTTGTCTACTAGCAAGTCATTGGCCCTTGGTGGTCTGAGCCTACCTTGCCACTTTGGTTTCAGAGGGGCACTTTCATTGCCTCAAAGGAACTTCATCTAACAGGACTTACCTGCAAAATCAACATTACACGACTCATTATAGATTTCCTTTACATCTCTGTGCCTTATATTGTAGTGGCCTGCCTTCTTCAGTGAGTCAACAATCCATGTTTTAAAATGGACTTACAGGATTTGAAAGTCTTACTTGTTACTGATTTGGTACAACATTTAAAAACTTGTATGGAGATGATCTGCTTCTGGGGAAAACTACATGGATCCTGGTTATATTCCATTGGAGCTCTGTGTATTCTGGGGATTTAATAATACTCTTGATAGCAAGCATGTACCTTGTGTGTTACACATAGTTTTGGTTTTGCATTTGATACTGCATATCTGTAGTACCTTGTACCTTTGTCATGGACAAATGTCTTGTACTAAGAGTTTTTTTCTTATCACATGGAGGGATTGAATTTTAAGTCCCACTTTTGCAACATGAGTGTTCTTCTTGTTTATGGGAATATGGCATTAGTATGGCTGTATTAATCCAAGAGCTTGTTGATACTCTTAGAATTTAAAGAGGGGAACTTAATTTAGTGGTGTGGAGAAGTTAGATAATACCTTCTGAGGGGAAAATCAGAGTTTAAGGATTAGGAATTCTATTGTTTAGGGCAAAGTATATCTAGGAGGTCTGCATAGGACCAAAAGATGAATGAAGTACATTGTAGGGGGAGTGTCTGAGATTGAATTAAACGCTCTTATGGAAGAAGATGTTACAGACACAACAAAAAAGGTTTATTCAACGTCTCTAGTACTTCAACAGCCAAAGAACAAGGCTGAAATTGCATTTAGAGAGACTTGACAGTTTGATTTCTAAATTTCAAGCTTTTGACCTCTCTAGAATAGTTATTTCTGAGCTCAATTACATAGGCATCAGAGTAAGAGAGGGTTTTTTTTTCATTTCAAAAATTTACATTCAATTGCTGTATATCTTTACAGTGTACACTTTTTTTTTTCTAACATAAATACAAATAGTAAGGCTTTAAGTAAGTGATGGGGTTACTGTCATTTGAAAGGAGAATGAAGATGTCAGTAGTTTAAGACATTTTAAATATTTTTGTTACGGAATTTACGTCCTGAACGTACTTCTCCTCAGCACCTAGTACTTCCAAATGCTGGGCAAATTGAAAGGTGAAAGTGATAGGGGTGTCCATACAGAATGGGAAGATCTTGAGTGGAATTGATTGTTACTTTGTGAGAGGAAATTCTGAGTGCACAGTGATTGGTTCTGTACTAGCTACATGTTTTGTTGTTAAATAAAAGAATAAAAATTCTTCAGTGACTGTTATTTATTATGCATGTGAGTTTGTTCTCTAATTTATAGATAAGGTTTCCAGGTAATCATGGAGATAAAAAAAGTTGAATACAAGCAAACACATTGAATTTTTATTGCTTCTGTAATAAATAACCACATACTTAATAGTTTAAAGCAATTTTATTATCTTACAGTTCTGAAGGTCAAGATTCCAAGATGGGTATCACTGAACTAAAACCAAGATGTCATCAGAGCTGCAATCCTTCTGGATGCTCTAAGGGCGCAATCTTTTTCCTTGATTTTTTCTGGATTCCAGAGGCTGCCTACATTCCTTGGCTTATGGCCTCATTCCTCCATTTTCAATGTCAGCAGTGTTTGGGCTGAATCTTCACATTGTCACCTGGTTCTCACTTTTCTACCTTCCTCCACTTTTTTTTTTTTTTGTTAGAGAGCACATACGCTCACCAGAGAGAGAAAACATCTTGGCATTGGGGGGTGGTCACATTGCAGTCCTTTTTCCTGATTTCTCCATTCTGTCAGGATTTGAGGCATGTTAGAGTCAGGAATCCAACCACTGTTGGACATGTGTGATCCAATTCCCTATGCCCAGCCCTTAACCACTCCACTACAAGGCTGGCCCATTCTTTCTCCACTTTTAAGAACCATTGTGATTCTACCAGGTAAAGAATTAAAAACTGCTGATGTTTTAGCTGAAGGTGAGGGAAAGATGTAATGGGTATTTGAAAAATGCAGATTCTGAGGCCAATTACAGAAACAAGGATTACAGTTACTTTCACACTTTCTCTGTTATATCCATGCATTTATGTGTATGCATTTGTTTGTATATGCCCACTGTCTTTTTTTCTTTTATCCTGGTTCCTATTTTTAATTTTATGGATAAATTTATTCAAAATTGATGTATTTAGGTAACAGTATTCAAGGGAGCTTAACTTGATTTAAGGAATATTTTAAAAGAATTTTTTTTAGAGAGCTTTTTTATTATAGGGCACATGCGATCGCCAGATAGATAGAGACAGACAGAAAAGCAAGAAATCACCCCCCAGGAGGGATGGCCACGCTGCAATCCCTTCTCCTCCGTTCTCCTCTCGGGATCTTGGGCATGCACATGTGCCCGGCGTGAGTTTTAAGCCACCGGGTCCGGGACACGTACTGCGGTTGACTACATGGGAGTCCAGCGACATAGCCATTATGCTAGCTGCTAGTCCCAAGAACATTTTGTTTTTAACTTTATTTATTTATTTATTTTATTTTGACCAGAGAAGGACAGAGTGAGAGAGAGGGGGAAAGTCAGAAGGCAAGCCACCAGATCAGGGACTCGAACCATGGTCGGCCATGCGGGAGTCCAACGTCCTTAAACACCGTGCCACCTGCTGGCCCCAGATTGATTACGTTTTTAAGGTAGAATTAGAGTTGTTTTGCTGCTGCAAGAGAGCTCAGATGTATGTTAAAGGGTATATAGGGAAGTTGGGTAACCAAGGGGGTGGACTTCCAGCTCTCAGTGTATTGTCTCTCAGCCTTAAAATCACTTTTATTTTATGAAAATACATGTTCAGTGATAACAGAATTCTTTTAGGTATTTCTCCTTTGTGGTAAACTTTTAAGCTTTCTTAGTAGAGAGCACTATAGCAAGTGAAAGGGGCTTTGCTATTGTTCCCAGTTTGTGTAGGAAGAGAGTACCTGGTGGTGCACTATTCCAGACATATATGGAGAATGTGTGGTCCCTGAGGGTTTTACATCTCCAGCCTGACCCAATGATCACTTCCCTGCTGCTATTTCAACATGGACACTGCACTCACTCTTGGACTGTGACCTCCACCAATGCCCTGACATTCTATGCTCCCATTCTAATCCCATGTTTGTATTCCATAGCTAATCTAATACACAACCGTTGTACTAGGAATATGGTACACTCCTGGCCTCTTGATGCACCGGCATTCCCATCCTCCTACTCAGTGTCTCAGTATTACCACATACCTGGCCATTGACTATAGCCCTCTGTGGCCTGGAGGGTTACCATTGAGGACTTTACTCCTTCTGTCCCTGCCCTCTAGAGAGATTTTTCCTGCTTGCCTAGTGAAATGTACACCAGGCTGACTCAGGCAAACTAAACTCTGCAATAAAGTGGCTACAGCTACACCTTGAACAAGGTTTGAATTTTTTTTAACAGTTATATATAGGATTTTAATTTCAGAGCTTGACAGTGAAGGGTCATACACTAAAGTCAATGCATATATCTAGCATTTCAGTGTAAACTCGTCCATGTACATAGCTGAAACCAATTACGAGGAATGGCTTAACAAATTCTAGTAGAACTTTGTAGTTTTTACAGCTATTAAAGCTGTATCTTGAACACTAAAGTCATATATACAAGGCAAGTCAGCTTTTATATTTGCATTTATTTAACTTTATAAACACTACTATAGATGAATATTAAAACAAAAACAATAGCAAGTAGTGAGCATATTGTGATTACAATCCTTCAGTCATTCACTACTGCATATAAAATGCCAGCAGTGTTATTTACTGGCCCTATTAAGAGGTTTGACACTGAACACCACCTCAGGGCTAATGTTCATCATCATCATATGGTTCTCCATTGTAATGGTGCCATCTTTCCTGATTTGGACCCAAGTCTACCAGTTCTACCTGGTACATTCCATTGGTCTCTTCTATTTCCTTCCTTTCAGGTAGGACGTTGTTCCAGCAAAGAGAGTTTATCAGGAGACAGCCATTCTCAGGGAAGTTTACCTTAAATTCAATAATTAGGCGACCTGTTCCATATGGTCTATAATAAATTGGCATGCCTTCATTTAACACACACTTGATATCTCTGTGCTTGACAGTCTGACCCGGGTGAGGTGATGACTATGGTTTGGTTGTCAAGAGTGGAAATTTGTAAATTGGCTTCTGGAAGTCATACAATGTTTCAACCAGCTGTATGTCCATACACATAAAAAGGTCCTCTGAGTAAAAACAGCATAATCTTTCTGATCTAGTACAATGATAGTATCTTGCAATTTAACTCTGGGGATCAGAGCACCTTTCCAATTTTTTT